GCAATTGGTGATGATATTCGGTAACGATATTCAGTGAAAATATAAAATTCATTGACGGTATTCGATGATCGAACCAAAACCTGCAAAGCAGCAAGCATTTATGCGCATACGCCTTGTCTAGCATTAGCACTATATACTATGAATTAGATATGCTCCAAAACGTTAGGGTCAAACTTATCCGCTCGACCTAACAAAGCGAATGCATTTTTGAATGACTGCAACAGCCAATCAGTACGGGGCCTGCCTGGCCTTCGATACTCTATATGTGGTATAAAAAAATTATATTCAAAGAGGACTTGTCGCAGCGGGTCATCTAGGCTAGATCGAAGAATATGACCAAATAATTTCAGTTTGTGTTTTAACCAAATCTAAGAAAACGGTCAATGAAAGTAGGAGGAATCTTTAATATGCGACGCAGATTTTCCATTTGAGAAGAATTGATTTTATCAAGGTTTGATTATATGAACTGAATATATTCTAGTTGTAAGCCATGGTGGTATGAGCCTTGTCCCAAAATTCGTAACTTCCAGCGGATGGTGGTATGAGCCTTGTCCCAAAATAATTTCATCCTGTTGTAAGTAGTAAGTACAGCTACCAATCTGTTGTTGATTTCACGATGATTATTTATACTATCAGAAAATAAAATACCCAAATATGTTGCTTCTCTTTTGCGTGGGACAGGTATATTATCCAAACATTTGATATTGGATTGTCGTTGGTGGAGAGTCAGATTAATACATGTGTTGTAATTTAATTTCAAATTGTAGTAGTCTGATTCCCTTTATATTTCGTGCAAAAGTTTGTTAATCGTATAAGTATAGGTCCCAAAAAGTAAAGTATCATCAGCCTACAGAATTTCAGCGAATCGAATACCTCCAAGAGATTCCTTTTGCTTTGGTGTCTTAAATTTGGAAAAAAAAAAACGCGGATATTAAGAGCACAAATAAATACGGTGAAAGAGAGCATCCGTGTCGAATACCAGAATATTGCGTTTTATAATTCGAAGAAGTCCCAGTAACGATGATTCTGAATTTAGGATGTCGATATATTATTGAAACCAAACACAACATATTTGGTGGTGTCTTCAATGGTCTGAGTACTTAAAGAAGCTTGCATTGGCAGATTTTGTCGAACGTTTTCTTCCAATCAAATAAAACTAAGGAAAGGTTTGTA